CATCATTGTCTGAGACATGGGTATATGGCATGTAACTGTATGTGTACTATGATGGGTTGTGTTATGATTAATATATTGTACAAGAAAAAGCTGGATAGAGGTGGAAACAAAGGCTACTCCAGTGGAAAACACTTAAGTTGAAGATGATCGTGTTTGTTGGGGGCAAGGGGGATCCCAGTACTGGTGATGTGATTTACAATATTACCTACTCAAATGGTGTGAACTTGCTAATTTGGGCCAGTCAACATGGCAGGAGTGAGGAAGGAGAATCACTGTATTACCTAGAGAACATTCTCTGTGAATGTACTCTGGACAATTTAGGTGTTACCTAAATCCATTGACTGGGACCACAATTTCATCATTTTAAAAGTAATGAGAAAATTTCATCATTAAAGCTTTATAAGTGGCAGAAAATAAAGTCATTAGTGTTCCAAAATGGCATTAGGTATTAGAAATAATACCTACTGCCCTCAGGGTTACCAGGTATTTACTAGGGCACAATCCTTACTGGTAAGCTTTTCTCAAAAGTGGGAAGGTGGCAGGGAGCAGTGGCTCACACCTATAATCCCAGCATGTTGGGAGGTTGAGGTGGGAGGATCACTTGAGGCCAGGTGTTCAAGACCAGCCTGGGCAACATAGTGTGACCTGTCTCTACAAAATATAAATAAAAAATTAGCGAAGCATGGTGGTGCATGCCTATAGTCCTAGCTCCTCAGGAGGCTGAGGCCGGAGGGTCATTTGAGCTCAGGAATTTGAGGTTACAGTGGGCTATGGTTGCGTCACTGCACTCTAGCCTGGGTAACAGAATAAGACCCTGCTTCTTAAAAAAAAAAAAAAAAAAGAAAGTGGGAAAGTTACAACATTGCCCCTCACAGTAAAAAAAACCCTAATTATATGAAAACATTTTAAATCATGGGCAGAAACAGAACAGAAAAATTTAAAGCCAGGGAAAAATTAAGCACGAAAGTTTGGGTGCTCTAGCTTTTCTAGTTTAGAAAGCAAAATAAGAGTTTCAGTACACAGAGTCTGTTTTTTTAGATTGTCACTGGTGGTAGAAAAGGAAAGATAAAAGTAAAATACTGAATTAAGGCAGACTGGGTGTGTTCATTACAAGTTTCATAGAATTTTTCTTCAAAATGAGATAAGACATACCATCTAAAATTAAAACAATCTAAAGCAAAAAGCAAAAAAAAATTTGTCATTTAAATAAAACGGCTTTTAAAAAAAAATCACAAAGTACAAGGTTCTGTTAGGTCCCTAATGCACAAAATTTTACTCCTGAAATTGTTTGCTGCTGAATTTCAGAATAAATAGTTTTGTAATAGTCTTAAGAAAAAAACATCTAAAATTTATGTTGAACATAGCTGAGTTTAAACTGCTAAGACATGTGAAATTCTATGATCTCTAGTCAAATCTATTTCTCCTTAGTCATGAGCCCCTCAGAGAAACAATGAATGTTTTTTGCTCACTCAGCTTTTTCTTCTAAATGCCAGATGAATATCAAATTTTTTTTCTTGCTTAGTTGGCCAACTGAAGTGATACTTCATCAATAAAATAATTAATGAAAGTGGCCTTGTGATTCAGCAAGTTTAATCACATAATATATTTATACCTGGGCAAATAATTCAGTCAGCAAATATAATGCAGACGGATGACATTATGTGTGTCATATATCAACATCTACCTTTTAAAGCTTCTAGTCTAAAGTAACCATTTGAGGAATAGGAAAAATAAAACCAGTATGTAATATCATATAGCAACTCACAGCTATGGCAGACACTACTGGTTGTCTACCCTCTAGCCATCTGGAACCTTCAACCTGGCTAACAGAACTTGGATTATATAGACACTGGAAGCACTTGTGCTCCCTGACACCCTCCCTAATCCCAGGGATGCATGTGTTGATTAATCTAAGTGGTACGCAAGGTATGGCCCTGGCCAGCAGTATCAACGTATCCCCTGGGAACAGGTTAGAAAGGACAGGCTTGGGCCCCATTCCAGGCCTACTGAATCAGAAACCCTTGGGTGGAGCCCAGCAGTCTGTGTGCTGTCAAACTCTCCAGATGGCCCTGAGGCATGCTTATGTTGAGAACCCCCGGTCTAAACCAATCATGGCAATTCTGTTCCCTCTGCCAACTGCTGGATTAGGCTGGGCAACTGTTTGTGTGACCAGTGAGGGCTGAGAGGAAGTCTCCTGGGAAGCCTGCAGGCATGCTTTACTCGTTCACATACAGAAAAGAATGAGAGGAAATATACCCACCTCTCCTATTTTTGGTTCAGATATTGTCAAGTCTTCATGTGGCAGATACTCAGAACTGTGGCAGCAATCTTTTAACCATTAGGTGATAAACCCAAAGACCAAGCCAATAAACCAAGAATGGCAGATGTGAAAGAATGAGAGAGCATGGGTTCCTGGCAACCTTGGCGAGCTGTTGGATTAACCCTAAAAATACCCAATCTCCAGACTCCTTGTTAAATAATATATTTTTTAAACCCCATGTATGTAAGCTATTTTCAGTTCACCTTCTGTTAACTTGAAATCCTGACTATAACATACTTGTTTCTTTAGTCCAGTCAAGCCTCAAAATAGTATGAACAACTTAATCTCATATTTATGCTATATAATTTTATATAATTATGTGATACTCAATGATATTTTATTCTATTATACATTATGTTAATTGGAAGCATTCTGAAAAGAAAGAATCTATAACCTTATTAAGTGAAAGTACAAAGAATTTGTAGAATGATGTTATTAAAATTATATTCGGGTTTTGGTTCTACTGTAGGACCTTGAGCAAATTACTGAACAGATTTAGGCCTCAATTTTCTAACCTATAGAAGGAAAGGATCACTGATATGATCCTGTCCACTCTAATGAATTATATAGTCTTATATCTTTTTAAGAGCTCGTTCACAAGGCCTTTGTGACAAACATTCATCTTTAATGAGTTCCAGCAATAAATAATTTTTATGTGATTGGCAACACTGTTATGCAACTGACTTATTAATTGCTATGCAACTGACTACCAACAAATATTTCTAGAAAAGGGTGACACATTAGTGGTGCCAGCTAAAAGCCTGAAAGCTCAGTGCTCGGTATTAGCTCCTGCCAACGCCCAATTATTTATACTAGGAGAAGCATGGCATTCTGTGGGTAAATACTTTGAAGTCCAATACTCAAACTCACTTGCTTTGTTAACTTCCAAGCAAAAGTCAAAAAGTACAAAATGCAAAAAACCTATTGGTATTTCTACCATCCACTGGAATATCGGTTAAATTAAGACAATACGGGAGGGGTGGGCTAAGAGGAGGTAGCGGATTGTTAAATTGCAAAGCTAATTTAAAAACCATCGGCCTCAGAGTTAAAAGTGATTTATAGTTAAGTTTTGGAAAGGCAAAGGTGTCCTCACACTCTTACTGCAACTAACACTAAAGGTACATAAATGTCCATATCAGATGAATTAACAGGTAGAGAGTATTTTTAACGTAATATATTTCAAGGCCTCTTAAAGCATTAGATGTCAAAAAGCTTTACAATGTAAAAAAAGGCATGACTTTCTTCTGATCAGAGGTAGCTCCTAGAATGAAAATACTACTGCGTTACTGCTATTATGAAATGAGGGCTACCAATACCCTACCAATAACACTTGTGCTCACACAACCACAGAGGGTTGTCAACTACTGTCAAAACAATACGTACTTCTTTCCTTAGAACCAGAAATACCAACACAGGTAAAATCCTCTTTATAATAAACATGCAATACAATCACATTCAGTGATTGTTATTTAACTCCTTTCCTTTAATTAATACAATACTAAAACAATACGTCCAAGCTGCAGAGCTCAGAAACTACAGAGCTGAAGCACCACCGTCACGCAGTGAACTTATTTATCCATGCCACACTCCACTTCAAAAAAGGATGTGAGCTGAAACGGGGTGAACTGGCAGGGCAGATTCGACTGGATGGACAGGGAGCAAACGGTATGCGTATACAGTATCTGCACCCCATTCTCCTCCTTAGCTTCTAGATTTTATGATATGCTTTATTTTAGAGGCCTGTTTAAAGATGAGTTTAACTAAGATAACTGGTCTGTTTAAGATGAAGTAAGAGGAGAAGCCAAGAAGAACAACTGCTATTTGATGACAGAACAAAAGAAGCCCGACAGCTCAGCAGTGCAGGTGTTCTGTCCGCCCGCAATGCAGACAGCACAGCAAGCTCTTCAGCTATCGACTGACTGGAAAAAGGAAGGAAACACAGCGATCCCACTTCTAGAAACTTATCCTAAGGAAAAAATTAGGGAAGCGCACGAAGATTTAATTCAAGGACTGCAGGACTATAGAAGAAAAGAGGATTGGTTAAACTATGCTATCCAGGGGCATGCCATTAAGGTAATGAAAAAGAATGAAGAATTTAAGTATTTAATGACATGCAAAGATGTCGCTATATATGCAATATATTGCTGACTAAGCAATATGAACTATAGGATCTCCCTTAAAAAAAAAAAATCTGTATATACCAATGTGGAAAACCTGGGTAAAAAAAAAAAAAGAAAACGAGAATTATAAAAATAAAAAAATTAAAAAAAAATCTGTATATAGGTAGAGACAGGTATATTTTATCATACATTTGCATAGAATGCTAGAAGTATATAGAACCAATTGTGGTGAGATCATGGGTGCTTATATATGTCCTGTTTTTGCTTAGTTATAGTCCCTTATTTTGTCTTTCTATGATAAACATATATCAGTTTTATACCAGGAAAAAAATTACTAAAATGTTGAAGGGATAGAGATACAGAAAACCCTTGATATTTAGGGACTTATTTACTATAAAGGAAAAGAAAGGTTTGATTTAATAGGTCATTTTGGCAACATGAAATAGCTTTGTTATTTGGGATGGCAGTTTATAATTGTACTAAAACCAATGAAATTTCACCTATAGAAAAATTTGTGCAGGTACTGAAACCACTGATGAGAGAGAACAAGAGATACTTACGGCTGAGTGAAGTCACGAGTGATGAAATCAGAACTCTTGAAAAGTAGAAAGATGTCGCTGAGGGTTTTACACTTCAGGGAACTATTCATTGCTATCCAGTATGCATCCTAAAGAATAAAGCACGTGCGATTTACTACATATTCCACGTTAGTTGCTATGAATGCTCAGGCCTATAAACAAAATCAATAACACATATCACTTCAAAGGCTTAAGAAAGTCAAGTAAATTTTAGCAGTACTGTCAAATGTTAAATTACATCTCTCAACAACGAAGAGCATCACTACTGCATGGCACTCAGTTATGAACACTGAGATGCCACGGTCCTCAACGTTTCAGCCCCAGCCCACGCACCTCCTAATGTTTTTCTCAGTGATGACAGAAGAAGGGGCAATAAGGAATCAGAAACACTGACACTTCAGCTAAAAGACTACAGTGGTCAAGAAACAGACTGCCCAGCTACTCTCTAAGAAAAAAGAGACCACTTCCCTCCCTCCTTCCTGTTTCTGGGGAGTGACAGCCAAATACCTGCACTTTGACGGTTGGGGCAGTCAAGCCGCATGTCTACCAAATCTGGGTGAGAAGGAAGTGAGATATTCTGAACTATCACAACTTTAAATGGTGAAGATCTCATACGTATGAACAAAAAAAGGAAGAATGGCAGGCACGGTAGGGATAAAGTTTAGTGGAACATGATTAAAAATGACTGAGTTAAGTCATTTAAAAAACACACCTCTACTACAGACAGTTCAGACACAGGGCAGTAATATAATATGAGCAAAATAATGGTTGCAAAAACCTATCCAGTTACCCACAGCACGTGGAAGCAAAATACTGGCACATAATAAGTACTCAATAAATAAATTAATGAACAAATGCATAATTTACAACCACAAATAATCTACCCATCTTCAGTGAAAAGCCTCAACCCAGTTCAGTAGTATGGAATGATTAAAAATATGGCTCATATATAGATGAAAAGTTGACTGTAAGGAACTACGAATGAGCTCAGTAACTTCTTTATAATTTCTCCCAACGAAAATGATGATGAACTTCTGAAGACAGTATATTGAACATACACATTTAATTCCCCTGAAACAACATGTACATGGCCAACCATGCAGCTGAACCAACAAGACACTCATTAACTCCAGGGAAAACAAAATGTTACATGAGAAAACATACGTAATCCAGACGTGTACACAGTGTTTGCATAATCATAGTAAGTGGAAATGCCAAATACTGATCTAATCAAAATTTGCTAGCTATGACAAGGATAGTGTAATAGAAAGAAGAGGGGATAGGATATAAAAGACAGCTGAATCTTTCTGTTTCAGAGTGGGAAGTCAATAATAAATACCTATCCTGAAAAATAAAGAAACAGAGGTAAATAACAAAAGAAGGTACTGAAATATTTTAAAGTGGTTGCCTCTGGGGAGCAGGAATTGGTGAAATAAAATAGGTGTCAGGACCAGTTAATTTTTGTAGCAAGCTTCCAAATCTGAAATTTCAAAATCTGTACATGTACAGTATAATTACTTTTAAAAAAGTTATTGTTCAGTTTAGAATATAAAAGAAAGGCACACGAGATGATTTTTGAAGATGCAAATAAGTCTTTGATTCCTCTAAATGAGTTTTGCTGACATAAAATTGTTTTCTATTGGATTTTTAAAAAAGAGACTTTTTCCCACAGGCCTTAACTTTTACAAAAATCTTGTCAATGCAATGTTAAAATAATAAAACACAATTTAAGAAAATATCAGTTGATTTCTCAAACTGCTCTATTTATATAGCCTGTGACATTTTTATTTTTATTATTTTTCAACAGAGAAAAATTTTTCTGTTAAACCAAACAGCTGAAGTTTTGAAAAGGGCAAAGTAAAAATTTCCTCAGAATTCTAGCATGATCAGCAACACAAGAGGTTGAAACTGTCTTTTAGCAGAATATACAGTATTTCACAGACCAGGAAAGTGTATAGCAGAGTCAGGAAGATAAAATAACAGATGGAAAATAATAATAAATTCCACAGTATATTTTCCTACGATTAGGAATATAATTAGACCTTCTGTGTGGATATAAAATGAAATGAATAGCAAAACAAAGAATATTCAAACAATAAGAGGTTTACTTATGTGTTCCTACCCTTGGGGCACTCCAGTTAAGCTTAGGAAAGACACTGCCCCCCAGGGAATTGATAGCTTCCTGGACTTTAGTGGTGAACTCAGGAAATTCTGGTGCCTACAGAGAGAAAGAAGAAATATTTGGGCACGTCAATATCATCACAGTAACTATGGAAAACAAGATCAAAATGCCAAGGTTATAGCTTGGGGTATAAAAACAGAATTTAGAATACAAATTACCACCAGAATTTTTGAACCGAGTTAAATAAAATCAGTGATCAAGTACATTCACCAGAAAGAGAAATAAAATAACCAGCTGCTCAAATGGCATTTTCCAAAGCAATCAAACCCACAAAACTAAAAAGACAGATGTCACTAGGCATCTGGAGATGCGAGGAAGGAATGAATAATTCTCTGCACACCTACATAAAACCAGTATTTATCAAATGAAAATAGACAGGTAGAATATCACCTGTCCACATACTCCAGTTATTAGAATTAACACCCCCACTTAAGGGGCCAGAAGCCTTTCTATTTGCAGGAAATGTCTTGGACATACAGTATCCCCAGAAGGCTTTGTGAGAATGAAAAATAGCTGATGTGGTAACTGTATTTAAATACTAGTATTTTCAGACAAGTTGTTTTTTTGTTGGTTTTTGGTTTGTTTTTGTTTTTAGAGATGGCGTTTTGCTATGTTGCCCAGACTGGACTGGAACTCCTGAGCTTAAGTGATCCTCCTGCCTCAGCCTGCTGAGTAGCTGGGACTACAGGTGTGCGCCACCATGCCGGGCTTAGACAAGTTTCAAAAATAGGACCTTAGTGAAATTAAAATGTTCTCTCCTTGGTTGATTTAAAGATGCATGTTTTATACAAGCAGGTGATTGAAATATTCTACATGTTCAAATCAACTAAGAAGTAAATAGAAATAGTGCTGTTAAAAGGAACTTAAGCTTGATGCCATTATGCCCTGCCTCGAGCTTTAGGTCACTAGTAAAGGAGCTCATGGATAAAAGCGAGAGAAAAAGAAAAGTAAGAGAGGTGGAAATGGAGTCTTGAGGAGAGACCGAAATACGGAAAACTAACAGATTCTCCCCAGTCATTCGTTCCCACTATCCCCTATAAAGGGGACCGCTGCCCCCTAACGGGCAACTGCAAGTGCTGAAAAAATCCAGTGAACAATTTCTTCCATAGGGGAAAAAAAGTGAGACTAGGTCTAGAATTAATTAGACTACGCATTCCAAAATTAAATCTAGAGTTTATGTGGATCCCCGAGAGAGAAAAAACTTTGCCAAGATTCTGGGAAACAGACCAAAGAGTAAGTTTCAAAAAATGGTAATATATCCCCCAAACTAGAAAGCAAAAGCCTAGGGAGTAAAAAAGAGAGCTTAAGGCCCACTTAGGCTACCCTTCTCTTTGGCACAGATAAGTCTGACCTCTAGACTGGTTAACAACAGAGTCTTTTAGTTATCTGATAGGCTGCCACTGTATCTGCCTCCCATTATACTCCTTCTTCAGCTTAGATTCATGAAATTAAATTAGAATAATTTAGAGAGGCTTTCAAAATGAATAATAGCATTAAGAGATTTTATTTTCCATTCACCTCTCCCACTCAAAAGGAATTACAATTTATGTTAAGCCAATAATTTCCCCATCATCACCTGAAGCTGCTGAGCTGGCTCCCTAGAGCTCACCCATAAACACCACTCATCTAAGATCTGCACTGGCAGTATTTCCTGTAAACAAACAGCTGTTACACAAATTTTACAACATGAAGGGATTCAACCTTCAAAGACAAAACAATTTAATTGTCCTATCCCATAAAACTTGATATCTAAGGATAGCTTTATACTTAAGTATTGCATTTGTTTATTTGTTTGTTTTAGAGACAGGGTCTCACTCTGTTGCCCAGGCTGGAGTGTAGTGGCACCATCATAGCTCACTGTAACCTCGAATGCCTGGGATCAAGCGATCCTCCCACTTCAGCCTCCTGAGTAGGTGGACTACGAGTGTGTGCCACCATACCTGGCTAATTTTTAAAATTTTTTGTGGAGACAGGGTCTTGTAATGTTGCCCAGACTGGTCTCACCAACTCCTGGCCTCAGGCAATCCTCCTGCCTTGTGTCCAGCCTGTATTGGTTCCCTCAAATCCTCAAAATTATTCAACTTTAGGAAATCCTGGCATAAAGAGCCTGAAACAAATTTAAATTATAAAAAGTTTATGCATAGTTTTCATTTGGAAGACCATGTATTGCCCACATATAGCACACCCTTCCAGATTATCTCATTCTAGCAAGGTCTCTGAGCTATTTTACAGCTCGGTAAATTGTAGGTAAATGATAGCAATATGAACTAATCCTTGTGGACCTGCAACTGCTATCTTGCCTGAAGAGGGATTGTTTGCTCTCCTGCCCTGGAGGGACATTTCATAACGGAGGGAGATAAAACCGGTTTTGCCTCATTTATATGGCCATTTCAATATTCCTGATCTATAAATTTTTGTCTTGTCTTGGGATTCTCTTTTGAACCAGTTCTAACATCTGTCTGGTTCCCACATGAGTTAAATAAATCTTCAAGATGCATTAAACAGTTTTATATCTATATGGGAGTCATGATTTTACCGTTTTCTGAAAATTATTTATAAACAGATTTAACTAATGTATCTTTTTAGTTTTAAGCTCATAGCTCAACTAGCCAATTTAAAATATGCATAACACCTCAGCTGTCTGGGAAAAGTTCCCATTGTAAGTAGCATAGAATCTACACTTCTAATGTGATTTCCACGGACTCTGTGATCTAGACTCACCTCTCACTTCTCCATCCTTCCAACCTCACCTACCATAGCACCCTGTACTACACTCATCCAGAAAGGGTAAGTGTCTTTTTTGTTAATTTTTTTTAGAATTATGAAATGTCTTAAATGTACAAAAAACACATACCTATGTTCATAGATCCAAAAAGTCAACGATTTGGCATATGTGATCCAGACTTTTACATTTATTAAGGGGAAAAAAAATGAGGTAGAAATGAGGCTCCTCTGTCCTTGTTCTCCTCCCTAATCCTTCCTTCTCTCCCCACAGGCAGGTGCTATTGCAAAATTGGGGAGTATTCTTCTATATTCGTGATTTTACCCGTGATCTGTACCCATGCATAAAATATGGCACTCAAAAAATTTAACATAAATGCTGTCACATACTATGCTTACTTTTAGCAACTTACTTTTTAAAATTCACCATTGCGTTTTTGAAATTTATCCATCTCAGTTGTATTTTTTTTTTTTTCATTTTTAATGAACTGCTTTTGCACATGTACTAATGGCCCATTTTCCATTCACCAATACTTTGGATTTTCCCACCCCAGTCCTGGCTCACATCTCGCCTCCACTAAGAGGGTTCTACTATGAATATTCCCCTGCCAACTCGATTTAGTTCCACCCAGTGAAACCCACTTTTTGAAATTATTAACTTTTTATTTTTAAATAATTCCAGAAACATAAAAAGAATATCAAGAATTTCTACATACTTTTCACCCAGATTTTCCCGTTTTACCACATTTGCTTTATAACTCTCCCCCAACCTTCCTCTCTTCATATCTATGCATGCGTGTCTATTTACATATACATAAAACACATTTTTCATATAGAGTAATTTGCAGTCATCGTGCCCCTGTATCCCTAAATACTTCAGTGTGTCGTCCCTAAAAAGCTGATTTAACATTCTCTTACATAACACAGTAAAATTATCAAAACCAGGGAACTAACACGGATACCATATCTATTAGTTAATTTATAGATCTTATTCGAAGTTTGCCAATTATCCTAACAATGTCTTTTATAGCAAAAGAAAAATCAAAACTTTTTATCTTGTCCAGGCATCCAGTCTACAATCATGCACTGCATCTAGCTGTCACGTCTCTTTAATCTCCTTTAATCTGCAACAGTTCCTCTCTCTTATCATTTATGATCTTGACAGTTTTGAAGGGTACACGGCAGCTACTCCACCTAATTTCCAAAAATGTTGAGTCTGTTTCATGTTTCCTCACGATCAGATCCAGGCTATGCAGTTGTGTCAGGTGATGTGTCCCTCCTGTACGTCCTTCTAGCAGGAGGCACACATTTTCTAACTCCAGTCCTGAATTTCTCCATGAACTTGATTCCTTTTAATGGAGAATGATATTTAGAAACCAAGATCAGGGCACTAGGAGTGCTCACTGCTACCATGTCACATGTCAAACCTTAGCGAACAGTTTGGTAAATACATACACATCTTTATGTTATTAATTTCTGTATCTGTCCATCCACATATATTTAAAATCAAGAGTTGATACTGATAATCCTTACCACTTTTAAGGTCCGGGTCAAATATCGCTTACCCCTTCAGGCATTTCCAGTGCCCGCAGCTGTAAATGCTCTCTCTGTTCTGACAGCACTGCCATCTACCCCCTACCTGTGCCGCCTCTACCCACGGTTCACAAACTCCCTAATGGCAGGAATCAAATCATATTCATCTTTGTTCATTTCACAGAACCTAGTATAGTGCCCTGAATATGGCAGATAAGTAACATTTACATTGAACTGAATTCCCATAAAAGGAGAGGGGTCTGCACGGCATCCAGAGTAAACAAAACATGCAAACTTTCCCCGTCTGCATTTGTTGCCATGTTTCACTTTTTACGCCTAAAGAAATACGGCAGTTTGGGGCGTCTCCACTTTTTTTTGTTGTACCCTGGAAACTCCAACTCTTTCATTAAAATAAAGAGAAATAGCTTTGTATTTTGAGCTGTATTAGAATATACCCTTCCCTAAAACTAGTTTCCTTTTTTTCTGCCTTTATATTTACTTGTAGGGAATTTTACAAAAACATTTCTCTTTTAACTCAAAGTATAAGGAGTTTCATTTATCTATTTTTAGAAGTACATTTTTTGGTTTCAATTATTCCTTTAACAATCTTTATTAAAAAAATTTTTAAGTTAAATTTCACAACAGCAATCTTATCTTGGAAGACTATAATATACTTGATCAACTTCTACATTTTTATATATAAAACATTGGTTAAAGCCACATACTTCTCTATTCTTGCTTGAAAGAGACTAATTTTCAAGTCATTTAAATATCCTTGTATTAGTAAATATAGATTTTCACTTTAATTTAGGTTCCACAGATCTGGGAACCAAAGAGTTTAACATTAGGCTTGATTCCTTCTCACAGAGCTTAACAGAAATAAGTCAAAGCATCAAATACGAACTTAAAATATTTCCTTTGTAATCAAAGGGAAAAAGAGAGCAAATCATATTTATCTGTTAAGCAATAATTCAAGTTAAAATAATAAATAACAGCCCACAGAGAAAAAGATCCTTGAAATAGTGAGTACATGGGAAATTCAAAAGGTACGCATTTAAACCTTGACGCTAACCCTCATGTGACAGCGTGAATCTCTTACCGTAAGCGTGGCTGTGTTCTCATCATCAGACCACTGCGTGGAAAAGAGGACAGAAACAAAATATTACACTTAAGTACTGCACGGGGCTTCCAAAAAGCAGTGAGCCATCTAAAAATGATACATAAACAGGAGACATCTTTTCCTGAACATACAGTATACAGAAAAATATGTCAAAGTGAGATTTTCTCAAAGTGAGAGTAATTTCTCACTTTATCAAATGTAAGGTAAGATCTAAATGTCAGAACCATTTTAGAGATCATTTAAATTACAACAGTCTACAGAACAGGTTATTTTATTTTGTACCAACCTGTATTTCTTCTGCTTCATCATCACTGTCTGGCTGAGAGCGTGTTGGTGGATCTTCCCTAAAATACATAAACAAAAATTAAGCAAGAAAAAGACTTTGGTACCATGTAGTCATAATTTCAGGTGTACTGAGTATATTTTTTTACAAACCCACACAGACAGCCTTAGACTGGAGAACCATATACACAAACTCATTCAACTAACTCTTACCATCTAAATTCAGTGAAGCAAAAAATTCCTTGTTAGGATAATAAGGAATATATTAAGATGGTTACACATCCAAACCTACATATATAAACCCCAAAAGTGAGTTTAAAAAGACATGTTTGAAAACTACCATTCAGCAACAAAATGGAATGATAACATAGTTGAATCCCAAAAGCATTATACTGAATTAAAGGAGCCAGACTGTGAAATTATGATATATATATATGTATTTTTTCACCCACAGTTTGTGCCCACAGCCCATGATACAGTCTTTTGCTGTAACACTGGGGTGCTCAGGTGTTAGAAGCAGGCTTTGGCAAACAGAATCTCTCTCTGACCTTCTCCTGTGCTCTTTTGACTTGCTCTTTCTCCCCAAGGCAGGCCACAGAAACTAAAAATACATCCTCATCAGATGGTAGGTCATAAGACCCCCATTTCAGGAGGAGTCTTGTCCCAAATCTGGGAGGAAGGAATGCTACACAGACAAGCCAAGAAGAATCTGAAATAGACAGCTTTGCTGGGTTTCCCCATTCAGTCTATTAGTATTAGCTCATACTGGTTTTTGTCCAATCACATTTCTACACAGTTGTCAATCATGCCTACCCAATGAAGTCTCTATAAAAGGACCAAGAGAACAGAGTACAAAGAGCTTCTGGACAGCTGAACACATGGAGGTTCCTGGAGAGTGGTGTGCCCGGGGAGGGCATGGAAGCTCTGCCCCCCTTCCTCCGTAACTCACCCTACACATCTCCTCATCTGTATCTTTCATAACATCCTTTATAATACACCGGTAAACCTAAGTAAGTATTTCCCTGAGTTCTGAGAGTTGTTCTAGCAAATTCAGCAAACCCAAAGAGGGGGCCCCGATTTATAGCTGGTCGATCAAAAACATGGGCAAAACAACCTGGGGCCTGTGACTGGCGTTGAAATTGGGGGGCAGTCTTGGGGACTCAGCCCTCCACCTGTGTGATCTAGTGCTATCACCAGGTGGACGGCATGAGAATCGGATTGGAGGACATCCACCTGGCATCCGCTAAAGAACTGATTGCTTGCTCGTTGGTGCGGGAAAATCCCCATACATTTGGTCACAGCAGTCTTCTGTGTTTATTCTTGTGGCGTGAGAGCAGAGGAAAAAGTTTGTATTTTTTCCATTCACACAGACACAAAAGAATACATATTACATGATTTATTTATATGAAATTCTAGAACTGACCAAAAACCAGGCTAAGAAAGGAATAAGAGAAAAACTTTCTGGGGAATGGAGCAGTGGTAAAATACATGTAATATGTTTATCAAGATTTGTCAAACTGTACATGTAAGATCTATGCATTTTCTTGTAAATGTACCTCATTTTAATTATACCTATAATTTTCAAGTTTTTATCTATAAAAGTAACCCAATCTAAAATCACTACTCTTGAAATCTCAATAAACGTTGCTTTTCTCAACCTGAGCTAATGACATCTTCATTCATCTAGTTGTTCAATCAGAAATCTGAGAGGAATTGTTGACACTTCCCTCTCCATCACGAAGTTCTGAAGGTGCAAGCTCCAAATCATCTCAAATCCATTCACTTTTTCCCTTCTGTTGTCACCACCTTAGTTGAACCCACTAGGAGGTCTCACATTCTCACAACAACCCTGCAAGGTAAATGCTATACTGTCATTTGCCCCATTTATAGACAAGGAAACTGAGGAAGAGAGCTAGAAAATAGTGAGGATATGATTTAAAACTAGGCAATCTGACTCAAGAACCAGCACTACACCAAACTGATGCTCACAAAATATGAAGCTGAACTGTCTACTCCAAAAGGGCAGAGTTCCTATGTGATTAGTGCTTTGCTATAAGATACAGGCACAGCAATGATTAACAGTATTTAATACAGTGCTTGCCTAAATCAGAGGCTGTGCAAACATCCGGCCAGTGAAAA